GAAGCCCGACTGGAACGGATCTAGATACGACGCTTCATCCAGGTACTGGGGAAGCTGTCGCGCAACCACACTCTCAACAACCTTCGCAACGAAGCAAAGGTTGGAGACTGGACGATAATTAGCCAATATTGCCGGGTCCAGGGAAGGCTTCTTGAGGAGGGGCCTTACCACCGCCTCTTTCAGGGCGGCGCGGAAGACACCCTCACCCAACGAAGCATTTATAATCCCCTGGAGCCAGCCTCGCGTCACCTCCCGGGAAGCCAGCACTAACCAGGAGGGACACGAGTCCAACAAACATGTGGTCGCGTTCAATCTACCCAGAATCCTGTCCACGTCATCTGGGGTCACAGGATCAAACTCATCCCAGATAACAGTCTCAAGACCTGCCTCCGTCACCCTCGCTGGATCTATCCCGTCAGAGTCCAGACCTGCCCGAATCTGAGTGATTTTGTCATACAGATACTGAACAAAATCCTCGGCTCTTCCCTCCAAGGGGTCCTCCCGCACTTCCTGGTGGAGCAGGGAGCGGGTCACCCTAAACAGGGCGGCCGGGCGATTATCTGATGACGCAATAAGAGCAGTAAAATGAGTACATTTTGCTGCTTTTATCGCCACTAGGTAACTCCTAATATGAGATCTTACCAGTGTTCGGTCAGATTCAGAAAGACTAGCCCTCCAACAGCTCTCTAGGCGTCTTTTCCGGCGCTTCATCTCCCTCAGCTCCTCGGTAAACCAAGGAGCCAGGCGAGATCGGCGCCGGGTCAGAGGCTGCAAAGGCACGACCCGGTCCAGGGCTCCAGCAGCCGCCCTATCCCAGGCGGCCACTAGGTCCCCAGACGAGGCGTGAGCCAGAACCTCTGGGATTGGCCCAAGCTCCATCTGGAACCTATCAGGTTCCATCAGGCGCCTGGGGCGGTACCATCTTACCGGTTCCGCCTCCCTGCAGCGGGGTGCCGCGGTTCGAAGGTCAAGGCGAAGGAGTGAGTGATCTGACCATGACAAGGGCTCGATGACTATATCCCCTATCTCGAGATCACTCAACCACTGTCCAGAGACAAAAACCAAGTCCAGTGTGTTTCCCCCAGTGTGCGTAGGGCCATGAATTAGTTGGGTCAGGTCCATGGCCGTCATGGAAGCCATGAACTCCCGAGCCATTTATCCTCTTTATTCCTTCATAAACCAATTATCAATTGCTAACTATTCAGCATTAAAAATTCTAAATTAAACATTTTAAAACTTTAAACATTTTATCACTTATACCTTTTAAAATAATATAATCTTATATTAAACATTTTAAAAACCTCTTAATGCATTAATAAGGCCTTCTTAATTCATTTCTCAAAATATAAATTCCAAAACCTTCAGGAAACTATCCCTTAAATTTTTAATTAACCATTTCTATATTTTTTCCAGTCCTTCTTCCTCAATCAACATTGCTCCCTAATAAAGTTCTAAATTAGACATTTATCCTCTTTAATCCTTCATAAAATTAAACATTTTAAAACTTTAAACATTTTATCTCATATACCTTCTTAAAATACTATAATCTTATATTAAACATTTTAAAAATCTCTTAATACATCAATAAGACATTAAGTCATTTCTCAAAATATAAATTTCAAGCCCTTCAGAAAAATATCCCTCAAATTTTTAATTAGCCATTTTAATACCTCAATACCTCTTAAAAAGCTATCATTTTTACCTCGATAACTCTTAAAAAGCTATCATTTTTATATCCAAAACCAATTGTAATAACACACTATATTATTATCTTAGAATAAAATTTAAAAATACAAATTTAATTAAGCTTCTCAACCTATAGCCAAAATCCTCCCCCCCCAAAAAAATTAATCTTCAATTCTTCCCTTCTTTCTGTATTTTTTCCAATCCTTTTTCTTCGATAATTCTTTCTTCTTCAGCATTGCTCCTCCTCCTGCTTTTATTTTTGAAAATTTTAAAATTTGGATTTGAGGTTGATGTCTCTTTGAAAGTTTCTGTAAAGTTATTTTCAATAATACTTTCTCCTTCAGCATTGCTCCTCCCCCTGCTTTTATTTTCGAAAATTTTTGGATATAGATTTGAGACTGATGCATCTTTGAAGATTGCTCTCTCCTAAAAGTTATCTCCTTCATTTTGAAACTTCCATTTCGACTCTTCCTGCTTATATAATCAATCACTTCCTCTCTTAAAAGTTGATTCTGTCTGTAAAACCAAGAATTGTCGCGATAAAGTTTATCAGTCTGCAGGAAAGAGTCTATTTGCTGCTTTTCTATTAACTGCATAGAAGCCTCTGCCAAAACTTCTGTTTTCAATGTGGTAACTTCCATTGTGTCCCTGACAGACTCTTTTCCCTGCTCCAAAGACAAGTTAGATTTCCTTCCTCTTTTCCAGCCAGCAAATCATTTTTGTTCTCCAGATGATAATTTTGAAAAGTCCTTTCAATTGATTCCAGTATAGCAGAAGTATAGAAATTTAAAAGTTCTTGTAAAACCTCCACAGTCACAACTTGTGAATTTGCTGGCTTATATAGTAATGATCCTCCATCCTTGATGTCAGCCATATTTCAATTCCCAGTTTAAGTTTGTTCAGCTATCAGGTCAATAAATCCAATAATTTTCCACTCAATTTAGAGGTATAAAGTAGTTAAGGTCAATACCATAGTCTCTTTCATTTCACTAACACTTTAAATCTTTTTCTTGCCACGTAATCAGGTAGCTTTTACAATGTTGCAGCTTTAACGATCACTTTCACTTATAAGTTTTGTTTTAAACGCCTTAAGCGCCATCTTTTTTTCCTTTTTCTTTTAAACGGAGTTAAAGTTTAATACTTGCATTTTTTTGTTCTCCTGATTTGCTCTGCCAGCATCCAGGTTCAAATTTTAGTCCTTAAAATTGCGCTGCTGGTGTGGTCGTGACCCCTTGTTCTGCTTAAAGCAGAATCGTCCCCGATCCGGAGCACTGAAGGGCTTTCAGGGAACTCTCACCCTGCAAACCCCAGGCTTAAAAAAAAAGCCTGGGGGTCTAGGGGAGCTCTACCCAGACCCTTCTGCTCTTCTCTCCCCCTTTTTCCCTGGGGGAGAGTTTCAAGCTGTTAGAACAGCTGATTTTTGCTGTTCTAGTGGCAAACGGAATCGCGGGGCTGGAGCTTCTAAAGGAGCGTCCATTCGGGAAACGCGGAGCCACCAGAAGTCCCCACTGCTTCTGTTTTTGTAGTATCTTGAATCATCTGAAATTGCTGCACTCTTAATTCTTCTTGACGCTTGGCTGCCGCTCGGGTTTGTCTTTGATCCTTAGGTTCTTCTATCTCCAAGGCTTGAACAGTAGTTGAAAGTTGTATTAATTCTTCTTGAGTAATCAAAGCTCCCTTTTGGGCCTGAGCCAACAATTCTTCCTTCTCCCCCTTTCTTGCCTCCTCTGCTTCCGTCTTCCTTCTAGCTTCTGGGGTCTGTGGGCATCCAGCCTTTAGTACATTGGTGTAAAAATCTCTTGCCTTCCACACTGAGTTAAGACGATATCTTTCTCCTGAATAGTTCACCCCTAGTCCAGCTGGAACTTCCCATCTGTACTGTATCTGACGGTTTCTCAGTTCTTTCACCAGAAAGGCACAATCCCTTCTGGCTCTCAACATTTGGGGGGGGGGGATTTCTTTCAGTATTAAAAGCTCCTGCCCCTGCACTTGAAGTTTATTTTTAAAAGTGATTTGTAGGATTTCATTGAGTATTCTCCTTGTTGTAAAATAGACTACAGTGTCTCTTGGTAAATGTTTCTGTCTGGCAACCCATGAATTGACACGATAAATTTTGTCAATTTGCCATTCGAGATTTGCTTTTTGATCTCCCATTATCTGTGCAAATGCTTCTGAAAAGATCTCTCTCAAATTCTCTTGCTTATTTTCTTTGAGGCCTCTTATTCTCAAAGCAAATTCCATATCTCGATATTGTATCATTATCACATCAGCCTCTGCTCTTTCCATCTTATCCTGGACCTCCACCATTTTATTTTCCAAGTTCTCATTAGAATGCTTAATTTCTTCCACTTTTTCATCTACTGCTTCAATATGGCCTGCCAAACCTTGAACTACCATGATAATATCTTCTCTAATTTCTTGATTTCGCTCTTTAATTTGAACTATCTCCTCAGCAATATCTCGAATTTTATCCTCAAACACCGAAGCAATTTTGTGGCTTGTGTTTTAAGGGCTTCCTGCAACATTTCAAGTGTTAATATTGTTGGTTCCGTTGGAACAGACAGCGATTGCAATTTGGACGTTTGAGCTGGCGAGCTCTCAGCACTTTTAGGTACAATAGTCTTTGTTTTGAAGCCATTTTTAGTTCCAATTTGAATTTATACAGCAGCCAGAACAATAAATCCACCAAATCCAAAAATTCCCAGTCTTTAAATAATATCAATCCCTTTTTTTAAAAGATCACTGCTGTAGTCTTTTTAGCCTTTAATCTTCTTTTTTTTTTAAAGCAGAAATCTCTAATTTTGAATAGGGGCTGCCAGCGCTAAACAAAACTTTCCTTTTTAACTTTCGCTTTCACGCCCCATTAAAGCTCAATCGCCATCTTGGTTTCACTTTCCAAGCCGCTAGACAGCTGATTTGTGCTGTTCTAGCGGCTTTACGAGATCTTGGGGCTGGCGCTCGTAAAAGGAGCGTTTTCGGCGCCTGCGGTGCCACCGGAAGTCCTCTCTTGCCACAGTTATTAAATGAATTACTGCAGTTGTTAAATTAGTAATACAGTTGTTAAGTGAACCTGGCGTCTTCATTGTCTTTGCTTGTCAGAGGGTCATAAAAGGTGATCACATGACCATGGGACACTGCAACAATCATAGATACATGCCAGTTGCAAAGCATCTTAAATTTGTTCACATGACCATGGGGATGCTGCAATGGTCGTAAGTGTGAAAAACAATCATAAGTCTCTTTTTTCAGGGCTGTTGTAATTTTGAACAAAAGGTTATAAGTCAAGGAGTACCTATAAACAAAACACAGTTTACCTGTTTCATGAGCCACAATGGATTCAGATTCTTTATTTCTATCAGTTCTGCCAAGTGGAAGAGTACTGCTGATGTCACTTGATGTAAGTTTTAGGGAAGTTTTCCCCAATGGGGGAAGCGTTCTCAGCAATCGACTACATTGTTCTGGTGATTTTTCCTTCTGAAAGGGTTAGAAGAAAGCAAATCACATTTATATTAGATTTTTAAAGAATAATATACAGAATATATTAAAGATACTATCCATATTTCAGATTTTGGGACAGGCTCTGTGAATCAAAACTGTTTAATTCCCTTAGAATTTTGGTTGAAATTTTTAAATTATCTGAGCCAGAGTTAATTTACATATTTAAGATTTAACATAATTCAAACCTTAATTTGAAGATTTAACAAGTTCATAGTACGCTGGAGTACAAATTCAAATTTATAAATTAGAAATAATGTAACCTTTTATTTATTTAGAGAAAGACAAAAAGAAAGTAGTTTATTTTTTGTATACTGTCATTGATTTACTTTTATACTGCCCAGGATTGCCCTATCAGGGAGATGGGTAGCATATAAATTTAATAAACAAATAAGTATCTCCCACCCTTTCATTAATTTCAATTAAGGTTACTAATCTCATATTTTATATTCATTCTTTGGAAGTATTACAGACCTATTCTTCCCTCTGATTCCAAAAATTACAATAAAAAATTCATAATGAAGATAAATTCATTTCAAGAAAAAAGTTCCAAAAATTAAAAGATTTAAAAATTTAAAATCTTTTAAATTTTTGAATCTTTTTCACACACATTTTTAATAGCCAGCTTGGAACAGTTATAGTGTACCTTCTCTCTCCGTCGCACACGTGCTGAAAATGTTTGTTGAAAGGTGTCTGCATCTCCTCCCATTTCAAAGACTTTAAGAGATAAATTGGGCTCATTTTCTTCTAGCTCGTGAATGTTATCATATGTTTTAGGCCTTGGGGCGGCAAAAACCAGCATATGACAGCCACCACAAGCAGCCTATAACATAAACATAGTAGATTTATTATTAGAAGTGCTACATGCAGGTTCATAACCCTGAACAGAAAAATATGTTCCTGAGTTTAGATTATTATTAATTAGTAATCTAATAATTTAGACTTTTTAATATCTCAAAAACACATAATGCAAAACTAAATGGGGAAAAAACTACATTATTATATAAATTAAATTTATTGATTTTTTAAATCAAGCCTGATTTTTTGTTGGAAAAACCCTTTTATTTTGTTTAATGTTCATTTCACCAGGATCATTTTCTGCAAATCTTTCATTTATCTTTAGCTGAAGAAGAACCACCGAGAAATATTGCCAAAAAGGAGCCTTGGTAGTACAGTGGTTTAAAGCACCCTGTTATTAACACAGCTGCCTGCAATTACTGCAGGTTCGAATCTTACCAGGCTCAAGGTTGACTCAGCCTTCCATCCTTTCTAAGGTAGGTTAAATGAGGACCCAGTTTGTGGGGGCAATAAGCTGACTTTGTATAAATATACAAAAAGTATGAAGGCTATTGCTTAGCGCATTGTAAGCCGCCCTGAGTCTCCGGAGAAGGGCGGCATATAAATCAAATAAAAAACAAACAAACAAACAAAAAAAAAACCTACAGACTTGAATCCTAAGCTTGTTAATATACTCTACTGTTGCTTTTACCTAATGTGTTCTTACTTCCTAACTATCCCCTCTAACTGCTGCCAATGTTTTAAGAAACAGTGACTATAAGAGAAAATTAAAATAATTGTCACTGTATCTACATACACTTGACAATGCAAAAGATACAGGAAAATGTTTAATAAAAATATTGTTTAATAGTTAAGAAATGAACAGGCATTGAGGGGGATTAATACTGTAATTGATCACATGCTGCCAAATAACTTCAGGTGTGGAAGCAAACTAAATTCTATATTTTCTCTGAATCTCATTCCTCTTAGTGTTGGAAGATGAAAAGAGGATGAGCTTTTTGATGTTACAAGAGGCAGGTGGTTAGAGACATCTTTATAAACTCAAGTGTTCTCAAGCACAGATAATTCTACACAGAAAGGTGGCATTTAGCAGAGGAGAAAAATATATATCTCTTTGAGTACAGTTCTACTGTATATATGTTAAATACAATGTAATTGTATGCATGGGTATTCAGACATGAATCTCATGCAATTCAATGAAATTTAGTCCTAAGAAAAGAAATATAGATTTCAATTTTGATTTTAAATATAACCACAGCATATAAATCCCAGAAGACAAAAGGACACCTTTATGTATGCAATAGAAGACTGTATCTTAGAAGCTTCCTTCAAGATGCACATTCCTTTGAACTATTTTCACCTCATACTGTGTTTGTTCACAATAAAAGTACTGTGTTTCCCCACAAATAAGACCCTGTCTTATATTTTTTTGAACCCTGAAATAAGCGCTTGGTCTTATTGCCATGCGCTCAAAAGCCCGATTGGGCTTATTATCAGGGGATGTCTTATTTTGGGGGAAACAGGATATACCTCATTCAAATGATTTCCATGACTTCCACATTTATATATTCCAACTGAAAAGTTTAACATGTAAATGTGACTTGGGGGGGGAAGAAAAAAAATATAGATAATTGGAATAAAATATATCACATTATCTTGTGAATCTGTATCAACATATACATCTCTTTAGTGTAAGAGTTTTCCTTAAAGATGATTCATAGAACATAAAGTTCCTAGTATGGGTTTCATACATTAAAAAACCACCTCCCAATTGTGTTGGATAGAATGTAGAATTAGGGGAACATCTTACTATATATAATAACTCTATGATAGATTTCAATTTCTTTGGGAACAGGTTTTAAGGAAATAGAACAAATTGCACAACAAATAAATAGTACTCCTTAGCTGGCATTATTTAATTTGTACTAATCATTAAATAAAAATGTAACATACAGCCTTAGTGGAATATTTAATGGATGCAATTCAAATAATTGGGTTGCTAGATTTTTGAAAGATTTGATCAGAGCTGATACACATGATTAAAACTTTTATGGGATATTTTGTTACAGGAATTTTTTAAGACAATTATAGTGAGTTAAAAACAAGCTAAAATGAAAAATTTTATTATGACCTAGTCCATGTTTACTGAAGTAATTAACAAAAGAAGTATCAATCAACATCATTTAAAGGTATAAGAAAATATTGGGAAATATCTCATTCTTTCACAATACTTTGAAAATATATTTCAAATATTGTAACTGAATGAAAAATTTGTATGGAAATGAAACCTTTCTCATGCTATTTTGTTTCTTCTTTTTCTTATCATTGCATACTCTAATGTGCTTTTTATTTGGATAACATTAAAGCATTTTTTTGCTAATGTAAATAAAATGTACACTAAATTGTAAAGGTGGAGTGATGAATAAAACTATACTTAATGACTTCAGAACTCATGTATAATTAAAAAATAAATGAAACATAATACTAGTTTTAAATAATCAGATGTCAGGCCTGGAAGCCATCTTTTTCATTGGATCTTCAGGTCTTCCATATTTACTACTGTGAGAAACTGGGAGGGGGAATTGTACGGAGCCAGGATGATATATATAGTCATAATAACATTCCTTTCTCAGAAAGTCAAGGACATCTTGCCCTGCATCTGGATGGCTGGAACTGGGACAGTGTTTGGGACCACTGCTTGGATTGGACCATGTGATGGACATGTGGGGGTTGGGCAGGGACTTGAACTTTCCTTTGGGTGAGGAAAACCTGGAAGCTTTAAGATTCAGGCTTTCCCAGATGTGCCAATATGACATTTCTAATAAAATTGAACTTTGAGGAAACTCAAGCCTCAGAGGTTTTTTTTTTCTTGGGGGTGTTACTTGGAACCCTGACATTAACCCGAATCTCCTTTAAAATTCAACCAGCTCCCTGGATACTGGGGTACTGTCCGGGGCCCTGAGCCCCTAACATCAGATGGAGAAAGACAAGAAAGCCATGGAGGGAACCATGGGGACTGGCTCAGCAACTCCTGTCGAGACCATCTACTCCCCTTCCCAAGCCGTGGTGGAAGCGGAAGAAGTCGCAGAAATAGAATGCCAGATGGGTGCCCAAAGAGCCAGCGCCTGAGCGAGCCACACAACCGGATCTAATCCTGTGGGACGAAGTTGCAGGAGCTACTCCGCTCCAAGAAGTGGTCGCCAGAGCAGCGCTGTTGGAACCACAAATGGGTGGAAGCCGAGCGGAACAGTTCCCAACCTTTGAATGGGCCAGTTGTGCCGCAAACACTCCAAAGAATGGGGATTCCCGCCGCCATCACACAGCCAGTCACTGGACAGTCTCCTGGAACAGTTTGGCCAACTCAGTGTGACCAGTCCCGCTCAACCTATGAGGGTTGAGCAGCCCAGATGAACCCTGGCTCAACCTACGTTCACCTTCCCGAGCCAGGAATCCGCAGGACCACTGAGCGGGGTGTCTACCTCCTTCCATTCGGCGCACAGCAGATTGTTCCATAGCCTCCCACATCGGGCCCGAGCTACTGGAGTGACAGCCACCACAGGGATTGGAATCGCACAGCAACAGAGCTTAGTGAGCCAGCCCGGCACGGGGTTGCAAGGACTGCAACTGGGGCTACTGGGACCAAGTATTCTACCCCAGCAACCAGCCTTCAGGCGACCTCCGGCGGACCAGATCCCTCCTGGATGGGCATTTTACCCTGGCAAGGGGTGGGTGCAATACCAATGGACACCTGCCCCAATCCTGCAGCCCGCATCTATCTATCAACCAGCGCACTTCCAGCCACTGGTCCTGGGGCCCCAGCCGGTACCAGACTTCGAACGGTTTCTGGCCCCCTTCCAGCAAGTGTCGCCAGGTTAGCAGTGCCCATCTCACCGCAAATGCCTCTTTTTCCCATGCTGCCCATCATCTCTCTGTGTCCATGAGCTTGTGGGAGGTGTAGGCGCTGATTTGTAGATTTCCTTGACTATTTCTTTGGAGTAGCACTGCTCCAACTGCCATGTCGCTGGCATCTGCTTGGATGACGAAGGGTTGTTCGGAGTCAGGATGCTTCAACACCGGTTCCTTCACAAACATTTCTTTTAGTGTTTCAAATGCCTCTTGGCAGGTTAGGTCCCACTGTAGAGGTTGTCCTGGGTGGGGTTTTGTTCCTGGGCTCCCTGTCTTTAGAAGGTCTGTCATGGGTTTGGCAATCTTCACAAAGGAGGGGATGAATTGCCTGTAGAAGTTCGTAAACCCTAGGAAGCTTTGTAGCTGTCTACGGGTGCGAGGGGGTTGCCAGCCTAGGACGGCTTGCACTTTGGCTGGATCCATCTCTATTCCCTCATTTGACACTTGATAACCCAGGTAGTCTAGCCGTGCATGGTAGAACTCGCATTTCGACAGCTTGACATACAGGTTGGCTGCCAGAAGTTTTTCCAGTACCTGGCAGACAAGGGGTATCTGGTTGCCCATGGTCTCAGTGTAAATGAGGATATCATCTAGGTAGACAAGAACCCCCTTGTAGAGGTGCTCATGCAGCACCTCATTTATTAATTGCATGAACACCACTGGGGCTCTCTGCAGTCCAAAAGGCATCACTTTGAATTGGAAGCTCCCTAGGGGGCAGTTGAACGCTGTTTTCCACTCGTCTCCCTCCCTGATGCGTACTCAGTTATATGCTTCTCTGAGGTCTAGTTTGGTGAAGACTTTTCCTTTGGCCAGGTGAGATAGCATGTCCTTCATGAGGGGGAGGGGGTATAGGTTGTGTACACAGACGGCATTGATCCTCAAAAGTCCACCCACAATCTCATAGTTCCATCTTTTTTTTCTTTGAAGAGGACTGGCGCCGCGACCCATGGTTTGGCTGGCTCGATGAACCCCCTTTCTAGGTTTTTTTCTATGTAATTGCGCATTTCTTGCATTTCCCGGGGTGTCATGGCATAGTTTGGGCTTGGGTAGTTTTGCCCAGGGGATGATTTCGATGGCGCAATCTGCCTCGTGGTGGGGAGGTAGGACGTTGCACTCAGC